ATTTTACCTGATGGACTTTTATGAATACAAATCCAAGTCAAGTGTTTTTTTAGAGTGTGACAACCTCACATTATTCAATTGTAATCATTATTTTAGGGCTTTGTTTTTAAGATCAGAGAGTGGAGGACACACAGAGGAATAATGAGAGAAGCTGTGTTAACGGTCATCGCAGCAGCTCATCAGACCAACAAATACACACATCACACCAATATTTTCTACTTTTCTTCTTCCATTTCTTATCCACCTGCCCCCACTTTTACACAGAAAACAGACGAAGCCTGCCCCGAACCCCCCCCACCCCAAATACATGAAATATTTACACTTATATCTTACAGGCGATTCAAGCCGTTTGTGAGCTCTCAGATCAGTGTACAGTTAAAGCACACACACACACACACACACACACAGGGCTGTTTTAAAGGATGATTCGAGGCTCGAATATGCAAAGGAAGAAAGGTTTTGGTGCGTCTTTACATCCGTAGAACAGCAGGAAGTGACGTTTCAAAGAGTTTCTGAAGTTCATTAGGTCATTTAGTTTCTTGTCCTGTAGTTCATCTCCTCCTTTTTAGCGTATCTTTACATGTAATTTAGTTTATCACCCCTTAGGTGTGTCCCAGAAGTCTTTTAAAGGATCACTGGCCAACATTTTATAGAGATAAAGAAGGAAGAAGAAGTGGAGGAATTGAATAAATAACAATAAAATAAATCCTCTCCACTAAAGCTTTACTGCGCCGTCATCGGTGTGGCAGTGTGACACGCCGCCAAGGAGACATTAGAAGAAGAGGAAGTGATGGATTTTGGAGTCTGGCACCTGCAAAAAACAAAAAAGAAGAAGTAGATATTAAAAATGTAAATGTATGATGTATATATATATGCCTTTTCCTATGGTCTAGACACAGGTTAATTACGATTATTAAGCAACATTGAGATTACAGGCTGCAGAGTTAATGAGAGATAAACCATGAGATTAGGACCACCCACAGAGGGAGCAGCTGATCCTCAATAATCCCATTTAGAGATGCATTGACTCTAAACCCATTGCATAGTCAGATACAGGCCAGTAAAAGCATGTTTTGCACGTATATATTTCTTTAAATCTATACTATAAATCATAATGGTTGATTTTCATAATAAACAGATTGAATATACCAAAACAAATATTGGTTTTAAGGTGAAAAACATCATATTTAAGCTTTTGTATACAACAGACTGATGCCAGGACAAATTCAATTTCATTGAACAAAAAATGCTGACGGTATACTGGCAGATTTTATTATTAATACATAACCACAATGATGGGAAATCATATTTTTATATTATTGTGATCATGAAATGTAAGGCGCGGGACATTTTACAGTTAAACAATTAAGTCAGAATATTAATTCATCCTTTATTTTAACTAAATAATTAGTCCAGTAGAAAAACAATTCAAAAAGAAATTCCTACGCACCAAGAAACACAATTAACAGACGCTTATGAAAATGTGGGGTATGTATGTTGATGTATGAGTATGGGTATGTCGGTATGCATATATGTGTGTACGTACATGTTTGTATATATATATGAATGTGTGTGTGTAAGTAGATACATGTGTACATTTGTCATTTAGAAAAAACAACCCCCTATATACTTTTTCGTTTTTACTTTATTTCACCAATATCGTTTAATTTGTCATTTTCTGGTCTCTAGAAATAAATGATTTGCAAAACTGTACTTTTAATAAAATGTGACTCCAAATAAATAAAGAATACAAAAAGAAAATGTGAGGTAAGGCGATATTAGATGATGATGTAATGCTAATATCAGGTTCAGGCTCACCAGGAGCGGGACTTGCGGACGCCGCCCTCCTTGGTGGGCGATCCGTCCAGAGAGGGGCTTTGGTTCGGCTCAGAGTCTGTGGATCGGTCCAGAGAGGCGGTGTTCGGAGGAGTCATGTCCAGCTCCAGAAACATGATGTTCTCAGCCTGAAAACACACGTCCATTTGTTAATTCATAATGTCTCTATCACATCAAACACAAGCCTGTAATTCTCTTTTTTTAGGGACTATCACAAACTGCATACTGCATACTGTGGTGCCAGATTCAACTTCTAATCCCTTCTGATTAGTTTAAATATTTCAAGTTGAATTAGGTTTTTTTATATTATTATTTCGTTCTGCTCAATGCTTATGACTTATTCTTTGTTCATAGTTTTTAATAGATTAAAAACACTGTATAATAATCATTATCACCTAATTAACTAAATCTGTTATATTATAGTGTAAATATGTTTTGATAATGTAAAAAACATATTCTTAGTCATTGTGAAAAAAGTACTTTATTTATCTATGATTTTAACCTCAAGGTCATTATGCACCTTGTGGTTTAAAAAGTGAATGAATGAAAGAGATATATATATTCCACTTTCAAATCCCCTACTTTCCAGGTAAATTAATATAATTGTTTAAGAATATAACATAGCAAACATTCAGGAGTTGTTATTTCCAGAATCAGAAGGTCGATGTTTAGTAAATTATTCCATTTTATTAATTTCATCAATCTGTAACAACAGTGTTAGGTAGTCCCTTCTAGTACTCCTGCTCTTTCTAAAGATCAGAAATATCTATAATACACTACAGAACTACACACACACACACACACACACACACACACACACACACACACACACACACACACACACACACACACACACACACACACACACTTGGGGTTAGTCCTGCTGGCCGTGCAACGGAGTAGGAAGCAAGTAGGGGAGGGTTTGTTGTTTCATGGGTGGCACTGAGGGATTTAGTGGCAGGTCGTGAGCAACTTGACAAAAACGGATTGAGAAGGTTAGCATGAGAGGTGTGAAGAGGCCCGAGATAGAGCGTTACGGAGGGGGGGGGAAGGTCCGGCAGAGAGGAGGGGACGGCAGGACAAACCTTCAGGTACTATTTAAGTGTGTGTCCGAACGCAGGCAGGAGGTCATTAGGATCCAGGTCAGGGGTCAAATAGAGGTGAAGAGGGATATACGGACATTAGGAACAAAGAGAAAGGCGAGTGCATGTAAGACAGATATCTGGATGTCTTCTGGCTGTAAAAGTGTGTGTATTTGCAGCTTAAATGAGAATGTATGTGCAATTGTGTATACTTTTATAAATTGTATAAGCACCTTCTTGAGCTTCTTGGTCTTGGCCTCCACCTCCTGCTGCAGAGAGGTGAACGTCTCTCTGAGCTCCACCGTCTCCTCGTCCTGCACCAACATCTGCTGCTGGATCTCCCTCTCACTGCTCGACTGGAAACATCAATTAAAACGTCACATTTCTGTTAGCATTGTTTTTTTCCATTGCATTACACAGGTTAAACCTTTCTTTAAAGTAGTGCTGTTGAAAACTGTGAGTGAACTTCAGTGATTTCCTGTTAAAGTCAAGATTATCTAACAGGTAAATGCAGTTTACTGTAGTGTTAGATATATGTGCTGCTGTAACAATGTGCATTTCCCCTCTGTGGGACTAATACAGGTATTCTGATTCTGACGTGTTTTGTGCTTTATAAACACCCTCAGGTTTACCTGCTCAGCAATCTCATGCCTCTTCATCTCCAGCATCTTCTGCTGCTCGTTGGTGTGATCCATGATGTTCTTCCCACCGACCAGCAGCTTGCTCTCCATTGCCTGAGGAAAACAAAATAATATTTGTAGTTTTAGGAACAAATACCTTATGTGGTCCTTTTAGCTTCAAAGAAAAGGGTTGAGTGTCGTTCTTGAGTCAAACTAAGTTCATTTGGACATCAAACAGTTGAGTCCTTGTGGGGGTTTGTGTGTGTGTGTGTATGTGTGTGTGCGTGTGTGTGTGTGTGTGTGTGTGTGTGTGTGTGTGTGTGTGTGTGTGTGTGTGTGTGTGTGTGTGTGTGTGTGTGTGTGTGTGTGTGTGTGTGTGTGTGTTTTAGATGTCTACTCTCAGCTATTGCTCGGGTGCTGTGGATACATCTAGACGTAAAATGCCATGTGACCATTCTAAGTAAAGCTGTTTTAATTTTTAAAGGAAGACATTTCTGTGGATTTGATTTTGAACTACTTTGAAAATGTACAGCTTAAGACTAAAACCAATCAACCTAATCACCTGAGCGATCAATCATCTGACAGTCATTGAGGTTAGATGTTTCTCAGTTTGATCAGTTCTTAAAGCCCTATTTCCAACATGGCTGCTATCAAATGAATTTTAGTGAGCTTGTTTTAGTGTTAATGGATTATTGCCTCAGTTCCAAATATTATTTATCACATTAGAGAGCATCTTGAAGGCGGCATTGAACAGTTGTTTTCTGGAAATATGTAAATTAGGCTTTGCCACTCAACATTATTGTCTGTAAAGTTGTTTGTTTGCTGCTGTGGTTTGAGGGCTGCTTTCGGTTGGAGGCCATTAGGCTCAAGTGTTTCTTGTTTCCTCCATAAGGGTTGATGGAAGCCTGCAGAGTGTGCAGACATTTATAAATGCATCACACTCTTCCTGTAGCTTCAGAGTGTGTGTGTGTGTGTGTGTGTGTGTGTGTGTGTGTGTGTGTGTGTGTGTGTGTG